CATCTTGGATGAGAGGCTTTTTCGAAAGCCCATATCTTAATTGCGGATAGTATTCCTCCTTTTAAAATTAGCGGAGCGGATGAGATAATTATATGGGGATCGTAATGTCTCATACAAGATCTCCTGGTTGTAAGAAATGTTGTGTGCTTAACATGCGTCGAAATAAAAATTGTTGTTAATGATCCTGTTGACATTTTCGCGATTGTTGCTGGTCTTCGTAATTTGATCTTCTGCAGCTTTTGATCAATTTCCTCTCCTGAAGCATGATGGGAGAAGATATTCTTCCATACATAACCTGGCTTGAAAGATACACAAGTTGCAACCCCAAGGAATACTGCTAACAAAATCTTCGTAGTCTGTTGTCTGGCTATTCTTTTCGAAAACGAAAAATAATAGTAGCAAAGGTACGCGAACAGAGTGGATATGAAACAGACCTGCATTTATATGCAATCGAGACGACGATATTATTGTCATGATTAAAATGATAATAGCTTTATCAAAATTCAGAGAGGTGGATTCCATACGAGCAAAACTTTTTGTTAAGTTTTTCTTCCGTATCTATTGTTTAAACGATTTAATCAGTACCTATTGTTATTTTAGTTATTAACTTCCAACTACTGCCTTATGATATTCCTAAAAAATTGCATTCATTCCAAACTTGCATTGCTAAGGCAAAATAAGAGTTTACTGGTAAAAATGTCAACATAAAAAGCAACCATTTGGAATTCAATCATTCAAATACTTGAGAACGATAAATAGTCAAAATGTGAACATTTAAAAAGAGAATGATAATAATAAAAAGAAACTTGTTAAGGAATGTAAGTCTATTCGCTTTCTGTTGTTTGGATGTCGATGTTCTCGATGTCGCACGGGACTCTTAATAGTCCTTGAGCCTCACAGCTACAGTAGAGCGGATCTAAAAAGTGAGAAAGATGTTTTCGCTCTAATCCATGAGATTGTCTCCACATAACTCGTTCCTTTCTTACTTAAAATCAACTCAGCTAGTCAGTAATGGTACCTGCCGCATTCTTTTTCCATTCCTCCGGTTGTGGTGGAGATCAGTGACGTAAACTTATCATGTTCAACTTCAACAACTCTGTCCTCATATAGACGCTCCTCGTTTTCGTGCATTTTTTAAATTGATTGAGGTTCTAGGTCTTGATATGAATCTGCGTTTGGGTGACATGCCCTCTCGTCCAAAAAGGTAGATCGTTTTCTTTCCCAAAATCTACGTGGATTAATGTCCAGTCTTGCCTCCGGGGCTTTGTTTGTCCCTCTACTTAGTCGTTTGCCTTAATGTCTTGCAGCACGGGTTCTGTCTAAACATTATGGTGGTGAATTACAAACCCCCACATTACAGATCATGGCATGGTCACATGTAAAGGTTTCGCCGTAAACGCATGTGCGCAGTGTAGCTTGATAGCGTCTCCAAACTCCCTTGTTTAGGTTGAAACCCATTTCTTTCATCGGCGCCACCGACAGCGAAATGGATGCTCCTTTTTCTCCAGCCAGATCTAGAGTACTTAATACTTTTGTTGGTAATGTGCTCTTCAGATGATCAACTGAGTTTTTAAGTGCTTTTTCTCTCTCAGTTCGGGCTGCTTGTTTGGCTGCACGCGCGTTGAAGTCTTCTGGTAGCTAACGTGTTTGGGAAACGATGTTCTCGAATAATGGCCTGGTTACTTTCACTGACGATTGATACTCACGATTTGCTTCATGGCTGGGGCTCGTGATTCCAAGGCGACCATGAAGCACTGACAAAGCAATAATATCCCGCTCACTTGAGCTGCAGCTACCTTCCGTTTTTGTTGGAATAAAGAAATTTGGTATTACATTTTCCAGTGGCTCTAGAAGATCCTAATGTCAGTCAGCGTCCTGAAGAAATGGGGCCAGCGGTGTTTTATGCCAAAGGTGAAAGCGGCATAGCATGCCCGAGGCTGTGATAGTGCAAACTTAGCTAGCTTGGCCACTTCTTCTGTGCGGCTCGTGAGTTTGTTAGTGGTGTGTTCGTTCAGAAATGCTGTTGAGCCTTCTACCACCCCCTGATTGCTGTGTCATCTGAGTTTACATTAATGGGCGTGTCTTTGAAAGGTTCCCTCACGAGTGCTTCCTTTTCGGGTTTAGCAATGATGCAGCACTTCTTAGTTAAGGAATTACCCCCAGCTCTTAAGTTCTTTTACGGATCCAATACCTCTCGCATTATCCGCAAACCAGCATTGCTTTCGAGCTGGAATTCGACTGCAGGCACGTTATGTGGGGTTGGATGCTTAAAGCATAAAAAGTCATGGCGAGCAGGATCACCTTGACGGTCGTACCATCTACACGGACACGAGCTCTTTATCATCAATGATAAATAATCGTGTTGTCTGTTTTTATGTGCTTATCGCGTACGCTGCAGTCGTTGGACAAAGGACTCTGATTACCTAAGAGCAGTAAAATACCATCATTCAAACACGCGATCTATCTAAAATTTGTCGTTTTAATGTCAAGCATCTGTGTACAGATTAGGGTACCAGTATTGCAAGGTGTATTTACAAAATTATCGGTTTATTTCCCTCTCTAACCAAGTTTTGAATTCATCATCCAAGTGGCAAAAACTATTTGTGCGACTGATTTAAACGCTGAAGAGGAAATGATTAGCGCAATCAACATTAAAACTATAACGGAATCGTATTAGAATTTAATTTTTTGGCGCTTGCGTAAAAAAAAATGTACTTATTGACCAAACGGCCCCGACCAAACTTAGTCAATAACATTTTTTTTCTACAAGCCTCGAGTGTTGACAATTTCAACTAAAATAGGATGCGATAGAAGGGCACACGAGATCGAACACAAAAGAATTCTCTAAGTAAAACTTTCCCTTTATTTTTGCGATTTTGGATAATTTTTTCCCTGCGGTTTGCGCTCTCTAATAGACCCCAAGACCCACTCTTGCGTTTTCCGACAATTCGCTTGAAGCTCTTATAGCTAGCAAAGGAAGTTCTACCGATTTTCCATCCGGCTTTGAAAAGATCGTCATTTACCATTATTTTATGATTGTTTTTATGGTCAGTCGCTCTTAAAGTAAAGTTATGTGGTAATTAATCATTTTGGACGTGACCAGACTACTTTACACTAAAAGCTGAGTTGTTCTTCAGTGTATCGTGCAATGATCGCACTTTAAATGTAAAAAATAATGCCCCTAAGTAACTGAGTTAATTGTCCTGCTAGACCACAGTTTTATATTACATCTCTTTTACAGTTTATCCTCAGGTGGATCAAGCGTATTGTACGTAATTTTTAGGGTCTGACAATCATTAACGGGAATACCCAACATATTAAGATTGAATTTCAAGCGTAAGCGTGTGCCGTATTAAAAGGAAAGGTTCTAAAAAAGAGGAAAAATATAAGAAGGACGATAAAAGCGAGGAATGTTACGGATTAAGTCTCTTTACCATTATTCCGTAGCCACGTTGTCACTTACGGTCTTTTTAACGCTATTTTGGCGACTTCCTTTAGGCCGCGTTTTGTGCTACTATAACAGCATATGTATTTAATATGATTTATTATTGAAATAGTAAGAAAGTTGCTTGCATTTATTACGATTCTGAACTACACAGGGAACAGGGTTGTCTTGATGCCTGACGTAAGTGTAATTTGTTAGAACACAATCAAATCCACGTGGACGCGATACTTTAAAACCTGCGTTGTGCACGGTATGCTTATACCAGTTTTATCTTTTAGCATGCAATCGTAAACATCATCCGCGGCAGCGGCGGTACAAACTCCTGAATAACTGGCGTAAAACTATTCAAGACCGCAGAAAACGTTATGTCTAACGATTCGAAGTTTGTCCAAGAAGTTTGTCAAAGAAAGAGTCACGTACGCATTTTCAAATTTCCTTCACGTAATCCGCGTGACGTCAATAAACACTGAACGTTCCAGAGCGTAAAGAAAACTAAAAATAAACCTTTCGTTTACGGTAAAACGCGTCTTGAATAATATCACCAATGATTGACGTTGTCGTTTGTACATAAAATATACACGATATTTGTTTAGAATGTAAAGTCTGTAGAGGATCTGAGTTATGATATATGCTCTTCATCTTTATGTGGTACAAAAAAAATCGTCAGCTCGGACTGAACTACAAAATGTAAACATGGGAAGTTTAAAGAATACTGAGTGCAAGAAATTTTTATAAGCAAAAAGGGATCACCGGCAACAAGCTTGAAAAATGTAAACTATCGAACTTATTCAGTAATAATGTATTTTAATGTGCTCTATCTAAAGTTTGTTGGCTTAGAATTATTCACGACATACTTCCGTTGAAGGGGTACAATTGTTGAGACTAGGTAAAAGGCCGATTGGCTTAACAAAAGCTCCATGGTTTTTTCTGTTTTGATTTTTTTTTTTTAATTTGTAAACTAATTTTTCTTAAGTGTTGCAGGCCTGCTTCATGACAATTAGCTCGTTAGAACTTGGAAGAGAACTGGCTATATTAATATGTTAATTGTCTTTAATATAATTCATTTTGGGCAAAATAAATTCACCGAACAATGAAAAATTACTGATACATTTCTCAGGTTTTAAAATGTAATTGCGGTTGTCATGATATATATCTACAAAATTTGCAATTTAAAGCTTGCAAATGCGCTGTGCTTTCTTCTTTTGTAAACGGTCTATTAGATGTATCACGAAAACAAAGTTTGGTCACGGTTTCCTTGTTAGAAAACGATGTTTGGTGACGGTTCCCTTGTAAGAATTCTTTAGTGTGCATAAGATATTGTAGTTCTTCAAGAGTCAAGGGAGAGATCAGCTTAAGGAAGAGGGTGTTTCCAACCACAAAAATACATGTTTCCTACGATTCGTGAGACGTTGTGTTTCTCTTACGAATGGAGCGGAGGCATTGCATGGTTTCAACACGATTATATAGCCAGTGACGTATTAGAGATCTGACGTTGTAACCACATGGGCGTAGATCCGGTCAATTTTTGTCGTATCAAGGTAGGAACACTAAACAACATGCTAACACTGTATTTGAAGCACGGGAATAGATTGGCGAGACAAATGCAATTTGTAGTGAACGAAACGACAGCAAGATAACCAAACAGTTATGATATGAATGAAGTAAATAGGAAAGCGAGAGCGAGGTACTTTGAACAAGAGATTTGGAATAATTTGTCGAAGCAGAACTCTTTCGAAGACCGCCGATTAATTCTAAAATGCAACAAGCTGGGAAAGGACGAGAACACTGCAGTGAAGTCATGGAATCAGGAACAGTTGCTTATGGTGAGGAGAAATAAGAAACTGCATGGACTCTTAAATGGTTCACCTGACCATTTTACTCTAAAAAACAATCACCTTATTCCACCTTCAACATATCTGAGTCTTCCATCGCTAGGCACGCAACAACGTCCACGATCAACATCTTCGAGTGCCCAGGAGAGTACGGATATTTTATCACGATCTTGGGAGCCAACACGACCAAGATCACATACTGAGCAGATGTTGTCAGCGAAAACAGAACACTCAGTCAGAAAACAATCCGTCCAAGAGGAGATCAGCTTGCCTACAGTTTCTGCTGCAAAAGTCCAACGGACTACGCATTCCGCTTTTCCACAAAATGCCACTGTATTAAGCAAAGAACCCTCTATGCAAAGAAAAACAAACTGGACAAGACCATCGAAACAAATTCATCAGAGGAGTGACATGATTTCTTTATACGACTAAATTCGGTCTATATCAAAAGAGATTTCTTAAGGCATAAAATTGTAAAAACAAACGATAAAATCCGACGTTTCGGAGTAGTCATGACTCCATTATCAAGGAAAATATAAAAGATCATGCAAATTGCAACATATAAAACGCTTTATATGTTGCAATTTGCATGATCTTTTATATTTTCCTTGATAATGAATTCGGTCTATGTTTTCATATCAAGGAGATTAAGTCGCTCTAGGAATCCATGTAGTAGATGGACGTATATCAGCTTGAATGTTTTGTAGTAAAGATTACTATCACATATAGAGCAGTCATGGATGAAACGGAAAAACAAATATCCTTTTAACAGTGGAATGTGGGTTTAAATATTGGACCCTATAAAAATAATCATGAAACAGTGAAGTAACATAACAAGAAATGACTACCTCACAGTAAAAGAGAAGAAAAAGCGAACTTAATTCTTATTAATGGCATTCACAATATTAGTCCTTTGCTTACCTGAATAGTGGACTGCCACCTAAGTTTCTACGGATCTTCGATTGGATTGAATTAAAAGAGTTAACGCTACCTCGGCCAGAAGATTTAGAGTATATCACTTGTTAAGTGATATACTCAAGTCCTTCGGACCATGGAAAAACAACTCCATTCACGGTTATGGGGCCTATTCAGGTGATTACAACATTAAAACCAACCATTACTGTTTTTGATTCGCTAATCATGATTATCTATCTATCTCTCGACACGCTTTTTTTTCCTTGCTTTACTTTTTTTTTTGTTTTTAGGTTTGTTTTCTTTTTGTTCTTCTTTTGTTCTTCTTTCTGTCCTTCTTCATCGTGTCTCTGATTTGAAAACGTGAGAGGGCGACCTAACTACTTTTGCACAACCGATTTTCAGTCTAAATTTTCTACGTTCATGCTCATTCGCAGCTGATCTCCACAATCATTTCATTACTACTCGACTTCTCTTGGTTAGAATGCTACATCTAGTAGTCGGTATCTTTCTCTGTAGGGCAGTTCAATGTTCAAGCATGAAAACGAGATAAATAGGTTTGAAATGCAAAATGTTGAAGGCGCACACAAAGTTTCCATTATCACAGACTACCTGTCTTGTTCATATTTGACTCACACTAAATCAGTTAGACGATTTGGGTTAAGATATCTATAGCGTGATAGTTGATACATATAGCCTCGCTGTGATTAATTACCAAAATATGAAGTAATTGATATCATTTAATAATAATCTGCGTTATATGTTACAGTGACAAAATTAGAATAATCTGCCATTGCAGAAGAAAACAACCAGTAAATAAATATCACAGGCTGGTTCCTCGAAAACTGAAAAGGAAGAGTATAGAAATACCACGGCTCAAAGCCTTTCCTTGTAAGTAATCCGTTTCTATTGTAGTTCCTGGTCCCAGCTAGAGATGGAGGTACCGAAACGAGTTCTGAAACCGCATTTGAGATCATGTAGGACACATAGTATATTAACGAAAGCTCAAAATAGGCGATGGACATTGAAACAATTTTTTATCCATGAGAATTGAAAACGGAAACAACCAAACAAACACTATGGCAACCCTAACTACATATTACTTCCTGAAACATCCAAGTCGCGGTCATCCAAGTGTAAATGGAGCTTTCACCCCCATCGCGCGTGCAAATCCACACGCTCGATCTTTCCAATAAAGATTTGAACACGTCATCTAACAAAAACTTGACGTGGATTTTTAAAACAGGGTAATCGGCTTTTCAGAAAAATTGAAAAAAGACCTTATTCTATACCAAGCGGAGGACGCAAAAACGTGTTCCTTGAGGTCGTCTCTTAGCATACACGTTTTTGTGGTTAAATCCGGTACAGCTTAAGGGATTATGACATGAAATGGAAGAAAAGAATCACTCAGTCGTTAAAACAATCAACCACCAGAATACCTGGAGTGATTTCTTTTCAATTGCGTTAAAACAGTCGAACAATGCTCGCAAGCCACCTGTTCTGTGATTCGTGTATTTAACAATGAATGTTTAACTGAATATCAAAGTCCTTCCATTCTAATCGTAATTGTTTGCTTTGATCAAACACCATGTCCTGACCTCTGCATAAAGTCTGACATACGTGTGAAGTTCCATCACATCTCAACTGATTTCAAAGCAAACACATCCGTGACAATACCGTGCCGGCACAAGTACAGAGAAAAGTTAAAAGTTGTATATAATTTGACAGAGGCAAAGAGGAAGCAATGAGGAATATAAGGACGGAAACTCCAGTTCCTCAGTCTTCGCAACTCGAAGAACTGCCAAATCCTTATAGTATGGCTCTAAGACGATCATCATCCTCATCATATCTACCTTCATTGCGCGAGAGTTCTTCGGATTGTAACGCACTGTCAAGAATTGGAACACCCCCTGCTTTTACAGAGATTGAACAAGGAAAAACCGAAATTGTAGCGCTTGTGGGGTCGCCTTCTCATTCAAGACGAGGGAAGTTATTCAAATCAGCTTTAGAGAGAAGAAGCTTGCACGAAAACTCTCGGCTTCCAGATCTTATCAGGAGAGACTCAAAAGAGAATGTCCAACCACTGCCAGCACCTTCGTCTGAATGGGTAAAAAGATTACATCGTCCACAACAATACGAACTTACAAGGACAACTTCACACCCAGTCATTTCTAACGCGGAAAATTTTTCTCCGGTCACAAAGCAGATGAACTATGCAAGGTCTAAGAGCTTGCCTCGACTCAAAAATGGAAACGCTTCACACACTGGACCCGAAGACAAACATTCAGCTGACCTCAGAAGACATATCGAAAAGGAGGAATCGGACTACGATTTATTCACGACTAAAGCTGTAATTTTGGAGCGCTTCTTGAACAGTCAGAGCTAGGTCTATAGATACATATATTTTATGGAGCACTCTCCAATTCGAGGATAAGGTTTTTTACGTTATATATATTTTATGTATTTCAGTAATATAAACTTTGAGATGAAATTTTGGCGTTTGTAAATTATTTCAAATGAGTGGGAAAGCTTTACACATTAATGCATTGGTATTTTGCTATTAAAAAGATTCTTCTTGGTCTGTTGAAAGGAAAAGAACTGAACTCTACTATGACAACCGATTTGACTTGATGTAAAATATTGTGTGAAAATATTTTTATGATTTGAAATTCAAAGAGAAAGCTATTGTAAATGTTGGGGGCGCATTTTCTAATAAATGTTCAGAACTAAGTCAATATTTCGTTTTTGTTGCTTACTTAAGCCTATTGAGTTTTCCTTTTTTTTTTTGCCAGTACGCGTTTGTCCCTGTATTGCGATCAAATCAAAGTTCAGTTACCGGGTGGGTGATGATACTGTTTGGTGTAAATGGACATCGCTTCGGTTTTCAGTGGGAAACCGGTTGGTTCTCGGAAAAAGGCACGGTTCAAAAGGATTTCCATCCAAAAAAAAAAAAAGGAAAGAAAGAAACAGAAAAGGAAACAACACTTTGATATTAAAATGGATCCCGACGCTGTCTAAATTTCACTTTGAAACGATATTTATTGAACCACTTCTAATTTGGAAAACGGGTGTTCGATTTCGTGACCTTACCTTCAGTCACGTTCTTTAAGAAAAAAAAAAACTATTTTTAGCTCAGGGGAGGTTTAAATTAAACCTGTTATAGTTTGTCCTTTTCGTTTCATCGATACATCCAAAAAATTTATCAATTGAAATGAAAATCTATTAGCCCTTTATGTGCAATTCATCAAAAAAATGCATTTTATAAGAATTCGGTATCTCAAGTGACAGAATGTCAGGCAGTTGTGGCGGCTGCATTTTTCATATTTTGTAGTTGAAATTAAGACATGCTGGTTGCTGGCATTAGACAAAGTTATTATCTGAGCGTATTGTTTTTCTTTCATCGGAAACATGTTATCTACCGACCTTTAGCTCTCGATAAATCATAGATATTTGGATTACTGCAACTTTGCACGTTTTTTCGTTTGAGTACGTGCTCCGGTTTTTTTTTTTTTTTCAGCAAGGCAAAGGTCATCTTAAAACAATGTCCTTAAAACGCGTTTATAGAATATTTCAAAGACGCTTGCGCTTGCATCAATGATTTTCTCTCCAAAACAATTATTTGCTAAACAAACAAACGTCTGGTTTCCTATACCAAGACGGGTTGCCCGCATTCCATAATATTAGTTGCGTTTTAAATTGGACCCGCCGTTTACCTAATTAAGTGTCTTATCTTATCTTGCTCTAAATTGTGACGTATCACTTGTGCATATTTTCTCTTTTGTCGATGTTTAATGTCTTTTAAACAGCTAAAGGTTTCCACTCTTTTTAAACTTACTTTAATCTTTATCATTTTAGCCTATTTTGCTTAAAGGTTTTCGCGATTTCTAGTCTGCGTTTTAAGACCTTCCGGAGCTGAGAAAATCGAATATTGTCAGTTTTTCATATCCAATCAAACAATATTGCGAATGAAAGAACGCGATAAAAAGAATCTTGTTCCATCCGACCTAAAGCGCTGAGTCAAATGTAACTTCTGCTTTTTACATTTGTGCAGACCAAATCATTCAGGCTGACAAAGAACACCTTTCGATAAAAATATTTCTCTTCATGTATAAATGATTAAGAAATTTTACGAAATTGGACCAAAAAATCAAAACCAAGATCCTTTTGAAGCTGTTCTTTGACACATGTCCTGACTCATCATATTGAACGAGTTCGTGACGTTAGTCAATGGTAAGATAATCGTGAAGCTCTTACTCATCTGTGGTTGTTCGAATACTGATATTTTAAAATGGCCCAAGAATTATTAATCGATTTTTTTTTTTTATTGGAGTTAATTGTGAGTGTTTGCAGATTGAAAAATAATAAAATTATGTATGAGTTACCTCAAGCGAAGTTTTTAATTTGCTCGCGGTCATATCAGCTCGTGAAAGAATTTGCTTAGCTGATATGGTCAGTGCACCTGCTGAGCGGTAAATTAATTCTCAATTTTAAAATCCACTATCGTATTATGAGACATATACAAAGAGGACGTTTTAGTCAAGCTTTAGCTAAGAACCATATTTTCCCTTGGTTTTTTTTTTTTAAACACATCTTCCTATCTGATGTGTTCATTTAATGGGCATGAGCCATTACGCAATACAAACTGCTTAAATTTCTGTCCTTTAAAATCAGGACAACGTGACAGCGTTTACCACACGTTTCCTTAATTTTGAGTGTTTTGAGATATATCCTCGTCATTGTGTTTACGTCATTGTGTTTCACAGAGTGCCCGAGACTTAAGGTAAATGGAAAAGTAGCTAGGCAGAATTAAGCTTTTATCCCGGTAATAGAAATTGCATCGTGTTTAATTTCATTAGAAGAAAGATATGAATTCAGTTCATTGTTATTTTAAAATTACTGAGTCATGTCAGCATGTGAGCATTTCGCAATTATTTCATTTAATTTTCGTCCTACGTAAAAGAGAGACCACTTTTTTTTACGGTCACGATCGGTCACTGACATTACCAACCAGCCGCATTACATAGACTAAAGCTTCTGTTGCTCTGCTAAAAGTAGTCAGATTGAGCGATACAGAAGTACCATATCTCTTGGAATATTATCAATAATAATAATAATAATGATAATAATGAAACACATCTAAAGCTCTTCCTTTGGTTTTCATTGTTATCTTCCCACTGAATGACGTTCTCAGTTTTCTAAAACGTTTACTCAAAGAATAGAATCATCCGCGTGTACTAGATCGTTCACCAAGAGGGCCAATAAATTGAATAACCTTGCATTATTTCCTTTCTCCGGAAAGGGATGTACAGGGGCTAAATCACGCATTTCTCGGTTGATTTATGCCAAGTCAGAATAAAATATACTGAATACTAAGTTTATCCCTTTTTATCAGCAGTTCTGTATGCCCTCTCCACATAAAGCTATTCATGGTCTGTTTTCCGACACTATGTACTCATGAAGCAGCAGGCCGGCTCTTTCAGTCGGCGTCTTGGCTAGCTAGAATTCGGCATGCACTAGAAAATAGAGGGGTGCTATCCGTTTCCTCAAATTCTCAGTTTTGATCAAACATAATGGAGATAGTAAGGTTATCAATGGAACAACACGAAGGATGCTTATATTTTCTTTCGTTTTTAAAAATCGATTTCAATTCAAATGAACTTTCGTGTTAAATCTGATCATCTATTGTCGCATGGTGCATCATGAATGCTGTGCAAGAAAATAAAAAGCAATAATTACTATTTAAGGAAAATAATGTATACCAAATAATCAGCACATCGAGAACAGAGACATGCTGAATGGTATGTGGAAAGCAAAGAACGATAAGTTATTTATTCAGTAAAGGCTGTTGAATACGTATCGCTCTGCGTGAAAAGCATGGAGTCCATAACCCATGCTGGCTCTTTCTCTTCATGAAGTGATCAAAAACAACTATTAAAGGCGTGCTTTATTGGTGTTCTATTGTAATTTAAATGCAAATACAGAGTGACAAACGCTTTCTTCGGTGTTCCTTCTTTAGATCGTGCTGAATGACATGCGTTCATGATGTGCTAGACACTTTTTCTTTCCTCACCTTCAATTAGTAGACGCCCCCATTTCCAGGAGTTATATTCGTTCAAAACGTTCTTCAAGTTACGTGAGGGACAACATTCAACAAAAGAAAATTTAACAAAAGATTTAGTCAGTGACCTTTTCAAGTTCTACCAAAGACGTTTGCCCAAGTTATCACGAGGCTCTGAAAGATGAACATGTTTTTGATCTATGGATGATTCGAAGCACTCATAATTCAGGGCATAATTTCTCCAGATTATGCTTGTCGGAGGAACCGAAGAAGTAGACACACTGGTACAATGAATATATGAAGTTCATATATTTTGCACTGCGGTATTAAATACGTATGATGCATGATCTTCGCAGTAGATAGCGCTATTTATGCAATAGCGAAAATCAGACCTGAAAAAAATCAGGCCTGTACGGGATTCGAACCACTGACCTCAGCGATACTAGTGCAGCTCTCTACCAATTGAGCTAACAAACCAACTGGGAGCAGGCCGTCTAAGTTGATTCGTAAAAAGCCCGTGATGATAAATCAACTTAACGGCCTGCTCCCAGTTGGCTTGTTAGCTCAATTAGTAGAGCGCTGCACTAGTATCGCAGAGGTCAGTGGTTCGAATCCCGTACACGCCTGATTTTTTTCAGGTCTGATTTTCGCTATTGCATAAATAGCGCTATCTACTGCGAAGGATCGTGCATCATACGTAGACACATTTTGTCAATAATATCCAAAGTTAGCTAGTTAATCTACTTATGCTGCCTATTTCGATATTCGGCAGCAGCTAGTTCCTTTTATAGACTAAATTGTGTCGATAAAGCTGCTCTCGAACTAGCAATACTTCAAAACAAAACAAAAATAAACAAACAAAAACAAAATCATACATGCACCCTTCTGATTTATATTCACTCTTTTTAATCTTTAAAGCCCTCCTCATGTTTATTTGTTATTGAAATCTTACATTGAATTTTGGCCTTTTTTAATTGAAAGCTTCCAAGACTGCCAAACCGTTTCTTTCTTTCATAAATGAAAACCATCGTCAGAACGACTGAGACACGTTTATCATTTTTCACAAGCTTTGAGGACCCAAGGAAAAATATCTAAACCGCGTAGTTAGCCCTCGAATTATTTAAAATATGCAGTAAAAACTCCGCTAAAACCGCAGTACTCACTGAAAGCTTTTTTATTACTTCTCAAGGTATAAAAGGCGATTAAAAAGGGGTACCATTTATATCGCAAAAACCACCAAACAGTCTAAAATGAAAGACAATAGAGAAGCGACCTTGACAAAACAGTTTTGTTCAGATTGAAAAGCAAGTTCAAGGCTAAAATGTGAAATATAAAACTCTACTGATTAGGAAGATTTAATTATGGGATATCCTAGCAACTGGTGGATGACATGTACAAGCAAACTGACACAGTCAAATACCTTTCACTCAGAAACCTGTTGTGTGAGTAGCTTTGTGATAAAAATTGCGATGTAGCAACGATCGTTTTTGAGGGAAAAAAATCAAAGCTCTATAATGCCACCAAATTTACTTTATAAATCCACGTGTTTTGAAGAAATGGCTCTAGTTTTAAGAATGTTTGAATCGTGTACGTGAAGGTAGTTACATATAGTCGGTCACATCAAACATCTTCTGAACACAAGATGATCCACTAAATTCATTGTTCTACTTAATTTTA